GAAAACAGGCATATTTGATAGTTAGGTGCACTTTAATGGACCCTGAAAAGAAATTAGATTAATTCATTTAAGGAATAAATGCCCCCCCACCCCCTCCATGATGAAACTCTTAAATGCTTCTACTTAATGGAAATCACCTCTCAAAACAGCACTAAAACTAATCATGGTAATTTTTATACATTTCCACGATTTCCATGCTATCTTCTCTAGGGCTTCGATGAGCCGTGATGAGCGGGTGCCCTTTTTGTGCCCAGCTCAACAGCCTGAAGTTGTCCTCCCTGACTTCAGTGGTCATCCCCTCCCCACCCCAGGGGAACATTTTCTAACACCTCCAGGGAGTAAGAGACAGCAAAAGCTATGACATAGCACCATTGTAGTGGAAGAAAATCGTCATAATTAAGCAAGTATAATACTTATTCACAGGCATGGACATGTCAATTACTCGCAGCCTTGACCTCAGGAGACAAGAGACGACCATCTGGGAGACCCATGAAAGGTAAGCAAGGCTCCGAGGCAAGTGAATCACATTTTAAAATTTCTCACTTCTGGTTTCTTTTCCTGTCACACCTGAAGCCTCCCATTTTAAGTGACCAAAATTCATCCCTGTGTCTCTTAGGTCCCAGGTATGTTGGTTTGTTGGAGGCACCTGAATGGTTTGGGGACAGCCCAGAGATGTCCTGGCCTCGGCGGGCTGACGGGATCACCTGTAATTTACACTTTGCTATTTCCGGTAGTGACCAGGATGCCGCGGACTTCAGATTCTCACCAGACGCCAAGCCAAACAACCCCCACTGCTGCCATGTCCATAGAGCAGAAGCCCCCTATCTGCCCTGCCCCCAGTTCCAGGAGCAGATGGGACACCGGTCACTCTGGCTGTGAAGTCAGCTGACTGCATGCATGTCTGTTCTGGAATGCTGGGATCTTTCCGGAATGCCTGGGGGACGATCCCTTCTGAGTTCAGAGCCATCACGGTCTACTCTATGAGATACGCAGCTCACTAGACAAGAAGAAACTTTCCCCATCTTTTCAAAAACATACTGAAAAAATAAAACACAATGGTGGGCAGGGAATGCTGCATTTCACATGGGGCATTATTAGTTTTCTCTTATTTACAGAATCCAACCATAAACGTCGAGCCCGGAAAATTCGACGAATATTTGTTTCGCATCAAGAAGGAGTACCTAATAAATCATCTGCTTCACTAAAACTGTAGCTACCAGGGGACCGCTACATTGAAAAAGACAGCAAAAATGTCTAATTCTGCCTCTTCATTTATGACACAACATCTCACATTTGAACAAAGTAGGGTTTGTGTCTCTGGAACATTCTCATTTCATTGAGCCAACCCACAGCAAGGAAGCCTGCATGCTTGGTTGGCGCGACTTGACACCCTGGCCCCTGGCCCCACCGTTTCTCTTCTCCCCTTGGCTGCCCCCTCATCTCCCCCACCCTGTGCTCACCCCTGCGCCACGCAGGCCCCAGTCATTTTGCTACATCTGCCCATATCATCCTTCCCTACCTTCTGTGGGCTGAGCCAACCTCTGCTCCCAATTCCAGATCATACTAAGGACCCCATCTCAATGTCCACCTCTGCTGAACTTGTGGGACACTTCTCCACCTCCCTCGGAGGACTGTGAGCTCCTCTAAAGCAGCAAGGCAGCCTCGCATCCCCAGCGCTGTGTCCCAGGGACCTGCACAGGGCAGAGTGCTGCTAAGTGAACCACCACTGTGTGCACAATGGAGACACTGACTCCAGCCAACAGGTACCGTGAGCTTACTCGGTGCCAGGCACCGTTCCAGGCATTTCCTTGCATAATTCATTTGATCCTTAGCACAAACCTGGAGGTAGGTACCTCTTACCAGCCCCACTATATGGGTGAGGAGCCCCAAATCAATCCATCAATCCATCAAATCGAAAAAACATTTCTAAATCCGCACAGTGGGCAAGTGTTGGAAGCAGGGTTGGGGCCAGGAAAGCCCAGAGCCCGGTTCTCACCACTACTGAATTCTGCATCTCTAGACACAGCAACCTTTTTCTTTTTCTGTTTTAGAGATAAATGGGACAAAAAAGCCAAATGAAACCATTTGTGCCTTCAAGACCACTGCATTGTGTCCCTGCAAGACACAAGAGTGTCAAAGACAACATTAAGTCCCACACACTTTGACTCCTTTGGGTTGTTTCTCAGTATATCATACCTCATCATCTAAACATCTATTTTCCTTTCTTTTTGCTTCCTTAGAACTATGTGCAGGTGAAGGAAATCATGTCTGGTTAATTGTATGTATGCAGACATGACCTTAAACACTGCCTTCATCGTCATACCTGCAGAGGGCATCTCACCGGGAGTGGAGTACATTTCCCTCCCCTTGAAGGTGGATGGCCTTGCACCTGGCCTTGACCATTGCCATGTGGGGATGTGGGGAAGGGACCCTGTGCCAGTTCCCAGCCAGCCTGTCAGAGACCGAGGCTCTCCTTTCTCCCCCAACCCCACCGCCCCTCTCCTTTGGTGAACTGAGCCACGGTGTAAGAGGTTGGCCAACTGGAGAAAGAAACCCAGCGGCTCCCTTGAGAGTCCGGCCATTCCAACCGAGGATCAGACACGTCTGATGTCATGATATCCGACAATCCATCCTGTCTGCAGAAATCTCGCAGAAAGCAGGACATGAATGACCTGGCTGAGCCCAGGCAGCTCAAAACATGGAGAATAAATCGTGGTTTTAAACCACTGAGTTTCGGCGTGCGTGGCAGTGCGGTGACATCTATCTGAAAATAATGCACCCGGAAATTCTCCTCGAGTAAGAAATCACAAATGCTCTCTTGCTCACTCATGGGGTAACCCTTATGGTGGTTGTTGCTGGCCTCAATGTTAGCCTTCCACTTTGAATAGTATGTTCCTCTATATTCCGCGGGCATAGCAAGTGTACCCCAATTACCCCTGTGTCAAACCAGACCAAAGAAGAAAAAAAGGGTTTTTTTGTTTTTTCCTCCCCCATACTGCATTTCATTTGTCTTTGTTTCTGAGTGGCAAAGTGCTCCTCTCCCCAAGCCCTTCCTGGGCTCTGCCAGCAGCTGGATGTCAGGCAGCTCTGTGGTCCTCATGGTGGTGGGTGGGGACCGCCAGCTCCAAGAGAAGGCTCCACGGATGAGGGAACGGAGCTCGGGCTCTAGAGTCATGGGGAGGGAACAGAGTCCTTGTCAGGAACCTGGGGATGGCTGTGAGCAGGTGGGCTGGGGCATGGATCCTGCCCGGATTCCAGGTCCCGGCTTCATCCCTGAGAACGGACCCAGCTCTGCAGCCCTGACTGTGTGGCCAGTCACAGGTCAGACTGACGGACACTGACACTGGGCCAGTTACTCTCCTGGAAATTGACACGTATAATCTCTGTGAATGTAAAATGTTCTTCTCCATTATAATCTCCAAGACAAGAACGCTGCAGAGGATGGGTTTTGTATCCTCATTTTTCGAGTGAGGAAATCAAATTTCCAGTTGCCAGTGCCTTGGGTCACACAGAAACTTAGGCAATGGCAGGATTTCTACCCCCTCTGCCAATCAAACCAACCTCCTTCTGGCAGGAAGTGGGTGGAGATGGGGCACTATCCAGGCAGGGGTGAGCAGGGAACCGCAGGCTTCCTGAGTGCACAGAGGACATGGGGGACCAGGTGCCCACCAGTCTCGGTGACCCAACTTCTTCCCTGGAGAGAGGAGCCGAGTGGAAGACAAGGACACCCTGGGAATGGGGTGAATTTCCTAGGACTCGACACTGAGCTCTGCCCAGAGTCCGAGGAGGAGCAGGTGGTCTCCAGCGTCTTCTATATCTAGACCATAGGCTCTGATCAACCTGCTGCCCACAAACCACCATCAATCCTTGATGTGCTCTTGTGTGGTCTGGGTAGGCTGCTCGTTCCCACACCGTCCACAGCTCTGCAGGTGGAACTAAGCAGACCCCTGCATCTCCATCCCCAGCCTGGGGGGATTTCAGAGCCTGTAATTCCATTCTCCGTAATATCACTGCCCATAACAAAGTGACCCAATTGCCAGGGAAATTCCAAAGGAAATTCTTTGAAGGGTAGCTATGACCAGAGCTTTCGACTCTACCGGTTTTCTTGTCTATACTAATCTTCACTACATCTATTTGTATCTTTAAAGTTAAGCAGATTTTCCATAGTTCTTTTTATCTCCTTACTTTCTCTTCCATCCATATAGGTTTTTTGTTTTGTTTTTAAAAATTTTATTTATTTGAGAGAGAGGGAGAGAGAGAGAGAGAAGCAGACTGCCCACTGGTCAGGAAGCCCACCACAGGGCCCAATCTCAGGACCCCAAGATCACGACCGGAGCCAAAGGCAGACACCTAACTGACTGAGCCCCCCAGGAGCCCCTTCCATCACTTCTCCTTGTGAGGATGTGACTGATCTACACATTCACCAAATACACTAATGTAAGTATTTCCTCTTGGTGCCTATCCTTACCTCTTAGGTAACAAACTCTTTATTTTGGACTCAACACTCCATTACACCAAGCACCTGCTGGGAGTCCTGGATGCCCACTCATAACCCAGCCTCCTTCAAGTCAGAACCTGGGCTGTCCTTGACCATCCTTCTCCCCAAGCCGGGAGTGTTGATTTTGACTCCTCCTTGTGCCAGGGAAGCACTACCCCAACTGCCAACTTACTCAGTCCCCTGTAACTAGCTGCTTATCGGGATTGACAACAGGATGTCATTTATCATCGTCCTCCTCCCCGACTGGACTCTAGCCAACCCTTCACAGCCAGGTTTATCCCTGGGAGAGTGTGTTTTCCTTCAGCCAGGTTCCCCTTGCAACAACATACACACATGGCTACACCACGAGTGGGCCTCCCTTTCCAAAATGCACTCATCCAACATTCAACACAATTTACTGAATGTCGCTCTGTACGCTGTGCTCTGCTCTGCACTGGCATGGAGTCATAACTGATGGTCCACCAGTGGAAAACAAGGGCCCCACTGCCGTCTTCCTGCTCACCTGTCTGCCCGACGATGGAGGCGCTCAGTCTGTGGGGGATCCTTGAGGACACCTTCAAGGTCACTCGGATCTGGTAATACCTAAGGAAAGAACAGAGAACAGGCAGATGAAGACCAGACTCCTTACTGTTGGCTTCTTCTAAAAGTACCTAGACTTACTCCTAAAGGCCAAAGGGAACCATGGAAGCATCTAGGCAGTGTGCACGATCATTTGGCATCAAGGAGGGACAGTGGGAGAGGGATAGGATGGAACCAGGATGGAGATAGGAAGTTGAGTTGAAGTGAGATCATAGGAGACACATGCCAGGTTGGTGGTATCGGGAAGAGGGAGAGGGATAGATGGGTTGGCCATATGGCACAGGTACATTAAGGGGCATGGCTTTTGTTTAGTCAGGAAAGCCCATTTTATGGGAAAATAGAAACTTTAATGCACAGTGCAAAATCCGTACATAAACTGAGTCGCTGTCAGGTTGTAACACAAACTCTTCCTTTAGAAACACAGCAGCTGGGCTACCATTCCTGGGGGTCTTACCAACCACTTTTCCAGAATATTGCTGGGCCCTTATTTGTAAGACGCCACTCCCATTTCCAAATTCCATCATTTCAGGACATCGTGCAGGTTCCCAGACTATCAGTAACCCTCCTAGCTGCCCCCTTCTGCCACAGGTGCAGAAGCACCTTCCCCGGGTCCCTGCCTGTGCAGGTAATGGCTCTTCTGCTCGCAAGCACTCAGGAATACTCCTAGCGCCATACTGTTCTCCCCTCCCACCAATGTCAAGCCCATTGTGAGAGGGGATGTGAATTAAAACAATGTGAAATAGAAGTAAAATGAGCCATGAACTCATGGGTCTCTCCTGGTTCATCGAGCTTATGGCTGGGGGAGACGCTATATGGTGAATATACTCATAGAAGGTTCTGTTGACAGGCTTGTGTTTGTCGTGTGTTTGGTGTGTGTGTGTGTGTGTGTGTGTGTGTGTGATAAGCAGAGGAGATGAGGAGCAAGGCACCAGTGCTGGATTCACAGCTGGAGTTCGGGTGACATCATTTGGGAGCTGTGTGCTTTTGAATACACCATACAACTTCTCTGAGCATGTTTCTGTATCTGTAAAAGTAGGACTATGAAAGAAAGAAAGAAAGAAAGAAAGAAAGAAAGAAAGAAAGAAAGAA